GCCATCTACCACCACCCCCCACCCCCTGAAAAACAAAAAAAGAACCATGAAAGCTCCTAACACTTCTTCAAACGACAGCCATCCAAACCCCCCCGCCCGCTAAAAGGAACATATCAACTCTTGCACTAGCCATGATTGGTGCCGCGTCCGGGCCACATGTCCGGGCTGTCCGGGCCACATGTCCGGGCCGTCCGGGCTACATGTCCGGGCGTCCGAGCCACCTGTCCTGGCCGTCCGAGCCATGACCGGGCCTCGGGGCCGTCATGTCCGGGCCGTCGGCCACGTGTCCGGGCTGTCCGGGCCAGGGCCACCTGTGCGCGGCCCACGTGTCCGGGCTTCAGGGCCGTCCGTGTCCGGGCTGTGCGGGCCACGTGTCCGCTGTCCGGGCTGTCCGAGCCACCTGTCCGGGACGTGTCCGGGCCCGGCGTCCACCTGTCCGGGCCACACGTCCGGGCCAAGCCACATGTCGTCCAGGCGTCCGGGCGCCCGGGCCCGCGACCAGTTGGATGCTGTCACCGCCACCATTGAGCGTGAGGCCGGGGTCGCTGCAAACCTTGGCAAAACGCGTGTATATCATGCCCGCGGCGGCCCCCCGCCACCAGGCATTCGCGAGCTCGGCGAGGAAGTTTGGCGCGGCGACAAGCCTCCCGCAAAGCGCAGGTTTGTTGCTTTGCCGCCATAGCCAAGTACGCACGCGCATGCCGATGAAGTTTGGCGGACGCTGCGACATGCTGGGCCATCAAACCGCTGATGCAGAGCCTGCACAGCGCCAGGCCTGTGACATTGCCTTCCTGCCTGCCTCCCTCGGGGGCCTGGGCCTCATGCATGCCGAGCGCCTCTCTCCCGCAGCCTACTGGGCAGCATGGGCGGACGCATCGCCTATGCTGCAACAACGGTGCCCAAGGAGGCGTGGCCTGCCAAGCCGAAGCCGGGCGCCAAGCCTGCAGGCTGCCGCGGCTGCAGGCGTGCACCTCGAGGGCCAGGGATGGGGCCAGCGGCCCGGCTGGGAAGCGTGTCTACGAACAGCGGCGCCGCAAGCGGCGCGCAGCGAGCCCGGGCAACTGGTTGGCAAAGGGGTGCTGCTCTCCCAAGAGCAGGTCTCGGAGTCTGGACAATGCCTCCGTTGCCCGCAGCCGAAGGCGACGTACCGCCAGCAGAGGTCCTCCAGTTCGCAGTTGACACGGCACCCAGCAGGCTGCCGATGCGATGAGGCCTTGAAAGATAGGTGTTGGCCGTTAGCTTTCCGTTGCTGCCATGCCTGGGACCTGGACTGTCGTCGTGCAATTGGAAAACAGGCGCGATAATTACTTATTTCGAGCATCCCCACCCTAAAGCTGTTATTGCACAAGAAGTGTAACGTTTTCCTGCCCCCCTCAACTGTCTTCCTTGCAGCGCTGCAA